CTATAGTTTACATAGTTCATGTTACAGAACAGGCCTCAAAAGCAGATATCGCAGAGCTACCTCTGAGATCCCTTAAAGTAACCTCTGGTCCGCACGGTCAAGGAAGTATTTTCCCACCTGCTCTGCCGCTGAGAGTAATGTATGTCACGTGGTTGTCAAACTTATATTTTTCATTCTCAGAGCTGAATTTGAGACGAATGAAATGCAGAACCAAATGTAATGTGATGGGAGGGTGGGGAGGTGTGCAGCTATGGGTGACCAGGCTAAGACCATAATTTCCAAACACTTGAGAGCCCAGTTTAGTCACAGGCAGCTGCCTGGGATTGAACCCAAGTTCTGCGGTGCCAGCTTATCGCTCTGTTATCTGAGCCACCCGGCCACAGAGTTATTTTTGTTTACACCAACGATTCAATTGCAAAACTTGTATTCAAATTCTCAACCACAGTTTTCAGCAATCCGTCTTTTGTGAAAATATATTTTATTATTTTATTGCTTCCCTTCAACGTGACTTTACCGAAAGAGCTAAGCATATTAATTACTGCAGTCAGGAAAGCTTTAAATCAAAATTGACGCTGTTATAATCACTTCATTCACAATTTCTCCTAATGTGTGATATGTGTGATATTTAAAGGTAAATATCTGGCTTTCTTACAAATATTCCTATAAATTTAGTGCAAGTTTGTTAAAATCATGGCATTCATTTGTGCAGCGCATGAATACTTTTAACCCGACTTTCAGTTTGCAAATGATGTACTGTGCACACAGCCTGAATCATCTTCAAATAAAAAAACTGGTGAAATGTGATCAATAATAATTTTAAAATATTCTCCAACTAGAAATTAAATCGTATGCGTATTGCAATAGTGTAGGGGTTTCACATTGGTTTATATCACTGGCTCGTGAAAGGAACCTTGAATTACATGCAGTGGAATTTTTTTTATAACAATCTGGCTATGCTACAACAACAATAAGAAAAAACTCAATATTTAAGCAGAGATTGGGTATCATTTTGGGTCTCCTGTGGTTATCAGAGCACCCCTTGCCTGAAGAATTTGCTGATGGGGAAGACTTTTTGGGGGTGGGGGCTGGTTAATACTGCTTCTGGATGCATTAATTGTTTGCTTATCGAGGCAAATTTATGCATCCTCAAAAAAGCCTGATATCAACAGGAAATGTCAGTAATTTTCAGATTTTGGCAACAATTCAACCACATCCTACTATCTACCACCAGCCCGTCGTTTTACAATCTTTTCGTTACAGTGGTTTTGTTGAGGCTTTCTAAAAGTTATATTATTCTTATTTTAAAAGGTTCGTATTTATCATAATGGTATAATTTTAAGTTACTTTTCAATTAGTTTCATTGTATTTAAAATATATTAATGAAATACAAAACAAGACAAAGGTCCCCCGTATAACCTTTGCATGATGTTGGGGCAAGTGCAGTTAGCGAGCACCTATGAAGACACAATGCGTGACCGCCTTTGTCTCCCGTGTGGCAATGCTTAAACAACGCACTAGCTACTCATTTGAGGCTGAGTCGACCGAGGAGAGGCCCAGGATTGGTTCAGATAATCGTCACTGGCGTTGGCCATGAGCGGGAATCGAACTCGTATCGCCGGGTTCGTAGCGCGGTGCGCTAACCGCTACACTACCGCTCCCCACAGTGTAATGCAATTCAATACACACGGACATAGACCGCTGCATAAAGGCCACTGTGATTTTCAGCACAATGAAAGGATGACTCCTCACACATCTCCGTGATGCAATGTCTGTGTGAATGCGCCGACCTCTTTAACGTGGCGATGTGCCCGTCGTGCATAGGTACAGCTCTGAATTAGCGCTCTCTGGTTGCCAAGCGATGGCTCACAAGCACTCGCCGTGCAATTCCCCCGGGGTACGGTGGCTTCAGTGGGTGTCTGCATGCCCCTGGGGGGGGGGGGGGGGGGGGGGGGGGGAGACAGGCGGGCCTTTCGTTCCCAAGTTACATAGCCAGCCTCGTCATTCCCACGTCGTGGGAATGTAACCAAACAAGTCCATTGCGGCATAGGAGCAGTAGCTCATCTGCTCATTCTTGAGCGTAAATATGGAGCATGGAAAGATTCGCAAGTGCGTGCATCGTTTTTCAGCTTTTGTCTACCGAGCCGCACATTAAAGTGATCGACAAAAGTGCAGAATGGTGCTCAACAGGAACGACGCGTTGCCCGTTTGTCAGTGAGAAATATTTAGCTTAAATTGTATTTAGTTTAACTGTGATGTCCCTGATGAGGCTTCAATTGAAGCCATGAGGCGGAGCAACGAGAAACGGGAATTGTCCGCACTTTTAAAATCCCTCGCGATTTGACAGCACTGTTGGATGAGCAGTTTCATTGGTAAATGCTGCAATTTTATTCACATATGATTTAGCTGATGCATTTAAAAGAAAACGCCCAAGAAGACTGATCAATATCAGATCCTGTGATTTTTCACTGTAGCTTTTAACATGCATACACAGAACAATGCTCAAGCTCATAACTAAGATAACAATAGCAACAAAACACCATATACTGCTCGTACAAACGAGAAAGTAGTTTATAGAACTGAACATTACCAAATCACATTTTATAATTCTTAATATTATATTATTTCGTAATATTAATGTTTCATGAAATATTATAAGACTCCTAAACAGTCATAATGTATTGCTACAAAATGTTAAAATGTGGCATTTCCACGATTTAATATAGTAACTATTTACTCAGCCATCCTTGCTAGATATTGGAAAAAAAAATTACGTCCTCAATGCTAATCATTCTTAGATTTCTTTAACACGAGCAATGTACCCTTTGACAACAGTTAAACTACACGCGAACACCAGCACCTCACTATTGGACCTCAACTTACTCCTTTATGGGCCTTCATCCTCATGGACATCATGGAAACTACTCCCCCTGCTGCCGTTTGTTGACGTGGCGAATTTCCTTGCTAAAGTTGGAGTGAACTTAAAAGCCTCTGACCATCAGCTGATTCGCCGGATACAGGCGAGGATGTAAGTTGATGAACGCAAAGAGCACGCACGCAACTGGCCGCTAAGTCACTTGAATCCAGAGACTGCGGTCGTCCATGGGAAAGGTTTAATTTTAGCGCGTAAATACCAGAAGGCAGTGGAACACATTCGGAGCGTGTCATTCTGAGTGGTCGTTGACGATATTATTATTATTGGCGTTTATGAATAAGTAAAGTCCGTTCCACTGCGGATTAACCAGCGAGGTACTGTCATCATTTCGGGCAAATCTCTCCCCCACCCCTCCCCACCTTTTCCGCGTTAAACCCAACACGCACACGGGAGATGATCAAGGTCACATAGCAGCGAGCTCGCCTCCACTCATGCGGCTCCTGGAGTGCCGAGAGTGCGCACTGCGTATAAACGAGTGCGGCCCTAGATCGCTCCTCTTTCCTGTAATAGCCCCGTGCAGTTGACCACCGCGCGCGAAATGTGAAGGCGTAAGGATTAAATTACCCCACTCACACCGCTGTTGATGGAAGGGGCTGCCAACCGCTTGAGCGAGCCCTCAGAGTGACCCACTTGAGATGGCATTTGGCCTACTCTTCCACGCTGCCTAGATGTTTTGGAAGAGGTTGGGAGCGTTCACACTTTACCCCACCGCCACTACGTGGACTTCCCGATCGACTAACTGCGGTGTTAATGCATTTGCACTCCTGGGTGGACGGAGGCAGGGGGGGATTTAATAAACTCGCCCTCTGCGTGTCCACAGTGTGCTGACCCTTTACACCACAGCGTTTGATCTCAATCTCTTTTTAAGTGACTGCAACCAAGAGCGTCAAGAATATTAATTAAAACGTTTGCACATGTTTATATTTTCCTTGGATTATGCTGCTGTTGGCAGCTTTCGTCACTTGAACAGTACCTGAAGTCGGCAACAGTTTGTAAAAGTATGCGTGCATTGCTTATACTTATTAATTAGATATTCATCACGTTATTGTATATTTATTTTATTCACACTGTTTTTAGTTTTTTTACATGTACCTTGTACGAAGTATTTTATTTTGCCTGCAGTTTACCTTAGATGTCCCTGCAAAAGAGACACTATCTGGTTATAAATATAAGAGTTGTCTATATTTATTATCAAGACTGCATGTTCCCTTCTATATAACAGTGTTGATTAAACATTTCAGCCGGCATTTTGCATTGCACCAAATGAGCGGACAGGACCCCAGGGTGTGATTCTCTGGGTTATTTGTGAGACCACACCTTTCCTTTCAGAATTAACCCAACATCGTCCTTGTTCTGAAGGCCTCGTGCATAAGGGCAGATATATGGCAGGTCCAAGCTCCCTCCTTGTATGTTATGTATGTTGAACGTCTTTCGCACCGTACGTAGTCAACCGCGACAGTCAGAGGTCCTTCACGCTGAATCCCGCTTCTCTTTCACCTTGCAGCACCACACTGCCGTACTGTGTTGTTCACATGGGGGCCACAGACTCGCCGCGACTGAGATACCAATGTTGAGTGTTTCGGTGACGACTCTATGAAAACCAGTTGTCCTTGAGCCATCACGGGGGAATGATGGTTGAGGTGCTTTCTCTTTGCCTTCCTCAACAGTGTTTTTAGGTTGTCACCATCATCTGGAAGCGCGCGATGCAGTGACAGTCTTTGTTCGATGGTTAGCCAAAAGCTGCTGCGAGCATGACTGGAGTTCGCGTGATTGTTTATGCTCCTTGATGAGATCAGAAATTTAATGTGGTTCATTTGTGGCAAGCACTTTGTGTGTAACTAGCGCGACCTTATAATGCATTCATTCGGCAACCAGAATCCAAGGCAGCTCAGCGACCACTGGACGGACATGTATTTTGAACTTCTTTCGCATCGCACGTAGCCAACCGTACTAATGCGGGGTGTGGGACATGGTCAGTTCTTAGAGTAAAAGCATTGGATAGGTTGACAGCGTACGATGGTGCATCACTCTTGCCCCTCTCTCTTCTCCTCTCTCCCGTTCGGCTCAGGGCTGCGCGGCGGGAGAGGCGGGCGGTTCGTTCGAGGAGCGCATCATCGCCGTGTGTGAGCACATGATGGCGAGCGCATGCTGGGGCAAGGCGGAGCGGCTCGTGCACACCAAGAGCTTCCGGGGCATGACCCTGCTGCACCTGGCAGCCGCGCAAGGTTACACGCGCCTCATCCAGACGCTCATCAAGTGGAGGTACGTCGTACGACGTGGGATGCCTGCCACGGGCGTAATGGTCGGCACGCCGGGATTTGCGATCCGAGTTGGTCGCCGGTTCGATCTGCCGGCGCGGTAATATTAATGGGTGCACAGCAGGTAGTTGATAGTAGGTTCGCGTATGGTGGGGTAAAGTGTGGGTATGCCCACCGCTTCCAAGTCGTCTGGCTGGTGTTTGGACAACCGACTGAATACCCTCCAGAGTCGCTTTCTAGGACTTCCTCTCTTGGAAGGCCCTTCTGCCAGCAGTGGTGGGAATAAGCAATCGCAGGGTTCAACCGTTAACTTTTACCCTAACTTTTTCCTGTTTTTCTTTTCATGGATAAGCCTTGGAGGTTGTCCCAGGGACCACTGTTTGCATTGAGAATTCCTGAAACACTTGTAGGTCCCTTAAGCCTACATACAACCTTCGTGGCTTTACAGAAACTGTATAATGTATTTGTCTCATGGGACCTCCTTTGCCAGTACCAAAATATAATAATAGGGTTTTCCACTTTTTTCTGTAAACAAAACAGGTGTTAAGATGCTAAAACACCAAACTGAAACCTTTTACAAGGAATCATGTCTGCATTAACCACAATACTTGTAGTCAGAATGCAAACAAAAAACACTCTGATAATATATGCATTCTCTTTGTTTTTTTTCGGTAAAGTCACGTAGGTAAAATAAAATAAATTAAAACTAAATTATTTTACCTACGTGACTTTACCGAAAAAACCAAAGAGTGAATCCTTGCAGTCACGAAAGCGTCAATTTAAGAATATATTCATTGTCCTTGAAACTGATTGATCCACACCAGAGACAGTTTTCTTTTGAGCCTCGTCTCAAACGGTGTCAGACCAGAGGACGCCAAAAGACCTCCTCTGGTCTGACACCGTCTAACACCGTTTGAGACTAGGCTCGAAAGAAAGCTGTTTCTGTTGTGGACCAATAGTTTCAAAGACAATGCGTCATATATTATCAGAGTATGTTTTTTGTTTGCATTCTGACCACAAGTATTGTGATTAATGCAGACATGATTCCTTGTAAAAGGTTTCAGTTTGGTGTTTTAACATCTTAACACCTGTTTTGTTGCCAGAAAAAAGGGTAAAAATCTATTATCAATGTATTTATCCTTCATGATCTTTGCTTAAACTTTGTTGGTTTCAAACTTAGACTGTTGAGATCGAAAATCCCTATGGAGAGTTTTAATTGTTAAATAATTATAAACAACCTATCTTGGACTATGCACTGAACAACTTTGCACACTTATAATCATAATTCTGTGCAAAACTAGTTACTACTGGCCAAGACCAATTAGAGAATCTATCGAAATTGAGATAAATACAAAATAATTTTAACCATTCGCCTAGTTACAGACTCAGTGCTGCTTGGAAGAGAATAATGAAATAATACATTGTTTAAATGCATGCCTATACAGGTCACCATATTTCAGTAGGGATTACCATTGGTATGGCTATTTTAGTGCACACAATCGGCAGGATGTACAATACCAATGAGCAGGCAATGGATACCCATAGTCATTTATGTGCATTCATTCATCCCCTCCCACTTCGCGCAAGAAAAGCACACAAGTGACGTCATCACATCTACCCCTCTATTTAAGGAACGGAACAGGAGGATTCTCCACAAATCTGGCTGTCGCCTGAGGAAGCTAGTTGTAATTACTGGCGAAGCGTCGTACTCAGATTGCAAATGTTGTGGCTTTGCTCTTCAACACACCGGTGTGTCGGGTGGTAGCGGGTTTAACAAAACATTTATACATTTACGCAATCTTAACCCAAACAAAAACTGTATTATGGATTATAATCATTATACTTTCATTTTATAGAGCGTCATTCATACCAATTGGATCCCATAACGCTGTATATTAATTATACGTGAGGACTAAATCCTATATACAGCCACTGCCAAGCAATTGAAAACTCTACCACCAAGCAAAATTTTAAATTGATAACCCAATAGAGACTTAGAAATTATGTCTTGTTGATCTTGCACAAACTGTCCAAAGCATATTGAATGTACAAATCCCATACAAAGCCGACTGAACTTGCAAACCCCAAGCTAAGCCCATTGGATTCAGACGCCCCACGCCAATTGCTTAAACTCTGCAATTGCCTAAAGTAAATTTGAAGTTGCATTTCCTGCGCTCAGCCTGTGTATGTGTTGCACGAACTACATTATGCTAAATGCACACGTTGAATGTGCACACCTTTCATCCCCTTACCAGTGCCTACCTTATTACAGACCTTATTGGTCACCCCGTACCCTTATAAATCTCAGTGTTCATCCTACAAAGTCCCATCAGAAGAGAAACACAAAAAATAGGCAATTTTTGTTGCCCTATTAAAATGGCTGTACGCCGTATGGACCTGAAAACTAATTTCTTTGTACAGAAATATGGGTAAACCGTATGGATTGACAGGTATGAATGTTCTTTGCTTCTTTCGGTAAAGTCACATTCCAATTTAAACGTCGTGGTTTTTTTTTTCTATCTACGTTATTTTACCGAAAGATCCAAAGAATATGCATTTCTGCAGTCACAAAAGTTTTAAGTCAAAGGTATGAACGTGTTTCTTTCCCCCCAATCGTTCACCACTGTAATATAATCCTCGCTCTCCTTTCAGACAAATACCTAGGGATGGGCCACGCCTTTATCGTCGCCTGTGGTGCTAAGAACCCACAAAAATAAATACGCAAAGCTCGCTTAACCAACAGCAAATTTCAAGCACGGATATAGTTGCAGTGTCGGTAACATGTGTAATCCTGTGATTGTCGTAAAAGCTGCAGAGTGATAGGTGTTGTGTTTCATGAATAGACCCCATAGCTGTCAAGAAGGGGTAAGGCTGTGTTCCTGAAAATGTCAAAAAGGCCAAATTCCCCTTTACGAACTAAATACAAAGCCCCAGTGAGAGTTGTGGGCAAGCACAGTAAATAATTGCCATTTATTTTAGTTAAGTGCCCCTTTACAAATGTAGTGGTCAACTTCACGTGAACAACTTTATTATTTTCTCCGACACCACTATTATTACAACTTTCAACATTACGTCTCTAACTTCACAGTTCCTCTTTTTGCCGCAGCTCGCTCGCCGCGCTCCGCCCGTCTTGCTCGCTCCGCTTCCTCCCCCGTCTCCCACTGTCTCTCTCCGTCGCTCGCTGTCTCTGTCTCTCTCCCCGTCACTCGCCGTCTCTGTCTCTCTCCGTCGCTCGCTGTCTCTGTCTCTCTCCCACTCTGCATCTCTGTCTCACTCCATCTATCTCTCCCTGTCTCTCTCTGTACTCTCTCTGTGTCTAGGTCTCTCTCCGTCTCACTCTGTCTCTTTATGTCTCACTCTGTTTATCTATCCCTGTCTCTTTCTGTACCCTCTCCGTAGCTATGTCTCTCTCTCTGTCTCCCTTGTCTCACTCCGTCTCTTTATGTCTCACTCTGTTTATCTCTCCCTGTCTCTCTCTGTACCCTCTCCGTATCTGTGTCTCTCTCTATCACTCCCAGTCGCTCCTTGTCTCTGCTTGTCTCTGCTCCTCTCCGTCACTCCTTGTCTCTGCTTGTCTCTGCTCCTCTCCATCACTCCTTGTCTCTGCTTGTCTCTGCTCCTCTCAGTCACTCCTTGTCTCTGCTTGTCTCTGCTCCTCTCCGTCACTCCTTGTCTCTGCCTGTCTCTGCTCCTCTCCATCACTCCTTGTCTCTGCTTGTCTCTGCTCCTCTCAGTCACCCCTTGTCTCTGCTTGTCTCTGCTCCTCTCAGTCACTCCTTGTCTCTGCCTGTCTCTGCTCCTCTCCATCACTCCTTGTCTCTGCTTGTCTCCTGCTCCTCTCAGTCACTCCTTGTCTCTGCCAGTCTCTGCTCTACTGCTAGCTGTTCCGTCTCCTATGTCTTCTCCCCGTTTCTCCCACACCTCCGTCGTTCCAGTCCCAACCACAACTCCACTCTGTCTTCCCGTCTCCCGAATATATCCCCGTTCTCATTACCCACCAATTAATTAGGCCGCGTGCCACCGACTCCCTGCGTCCCCCTGCACCTGTTACTTGCCCCCCTCTATTCCCAGACATTCCGGCGCCACCTCGTCCTTGACAACAACCCCAGCCAATCACAGCCGTACATCGCTCCCTGGCTTAATTGGCCCGTCATTACCGCACAGTTTCCCGCCGCCACACCTGGCCAGCCCGACATAACCCCACTTTCCATAACTCGCGCGTCTTTGCGCGTGTTAATCCACTACACAAAGAAGGAATGGGAAGAAATGTCAATCTGTAAAGTGGCCTTTACATGAAATTGGGCCCTTGCGTCTTAAATTAATTGTCGTACATTTTATTGAAAGTTCCATAAATGTTTCCTCAAATATAGATACTCATATCCTAGAGAACTAAAGTTTAACAGCAAATATTAAAATAAATGTCTAAACTTAGTGGCTAATTAAAACTAACAGGTTTTCTTTTAATACCATCACTGGAGAGGAAAGATAAATCTTTCCGTTTCTGCCGCCTAGCCATCTTCAGTAAGAACAGATGGAGTAGACGAAGCCTGTCTTAGAGAAAGGCACTTAATTATCGGCTGTGCACAATTTCACAACATGCATGTACAATTTAAAACACGAGCTCATAAATAAAACCCTAGAGTTGGGAAATGCCTTCGACACGTTACAATTATTTTCAGTCCATGAACTTTGCGAAAAATCCGTCTTTGTAATACAAAAGGCAAACTTTTTCAACCTCTGCATCCATTATAAACCCTGCAAATTCACTTGTGCTGGTACTCACAATCAAACAACAGGGGTCATCTTTTACTTTAAAGACTGTGATGAAGTGGAACTGCGCTAGAGGTTTACAATACGTGTACATTATTTTTCACAAGTCGTACAGCTGTAGCCCCTTTGCACCAACACACGGTGGGCTTCTGTAAAACACTTGTGACAAGCTGCGCCAACAAATTATACGCGTGTTCTGCAAACGGCGAAATGTGCCGGTTAAAGAGCATGGCGTTGTAAGCGACTGTCTCTTCAAAATTATCACCGTTCCTTATTTGTGCCGGTGCTGTTTGTGGACTGAACGTGTTGGATTTATTGTATACATGATGGCTAATGCACACTTTGGCACTGGCGTTGTCAAAATAAAATAGCGTGGGTGTCCGCTAATGGCTTTAAAGACAGCGCGTCATTGCTCATCGACCTTAAAGCCAGTTGTAAAAAAAATACAGCGTGCATTAAGAAGTTAAAAAGGATTCAATCTATAACGTACAACAAATATGTTTTGAGTCCCTTTTAGATATGATTGACTCGGTTGCGAACCTAATTGTAAATGTACCGCCGTGAAATAACATCCCCCTGCTGAGTTACAGCGTTTGTTACCGTGATAATCCATGAAAAGGTATCCTCTGGGACGGGTGCATTGGCCCGAGAGCAGCATTGCTCTTCCTTGGCACACACATTCTTTTGGGCCGAAGCTGCGCCACTTGTTTTGACAACGTAAAATGTGTCTACTGTTCATGCCAATGCAGTGGACTCTTCATCCGAGAATGTTGCTGCTTCCTTTGTCCAGGTCCCACCACACGGAGAGCATCGACCTGGAATTCGAAGTGGATCCTCTCAACGTCGACCATTTCTCCTGCACTCCTCTGGTGTGTGACTTTTTGTGGTTTCGTTGTTGCACTCGGCCGTCACTCATGCCGTTGCAATAGATTAATGATCGAGGCTATTCAATTATTGTACGTAGCTGAGGTTGCCCATATTCTGGCAGGGAACAAGCCCTAGAATGAGATGTATCAACCTCGCCAATTCTGTAGAGAGAGTGTTTACAGTTTATTATTAAAATGTTACGTTATCAAAGTTAACTTGTATGAATCACTCCAGAGTAAATTCCCATATCTTTATATAGTAGCACCGTGCATGCAGCATATAAGCAGTAAAATGAAGAAACTAATAGCAAATAGCACTAAACGCCCAAATAGAACTTGGCCCAATGCTACGAATACAATGCCATTTATAAGGTTTATTTTCCTGCCCTAAGGTTTGTGTGTACAAGCGAGCAGATGAAACGAGCTTTGAGACATGGAAGTCTTTTTTTATTCTGGGTGAAGACTATGTTTTGTCCTTGTTGAAGCAGAGCAGATTTGTGAGGCTGTGTGTTGTTGTTTGTTATATTGATCGACTAACGACATACAATCGACATTTAAAACCCCCATTGTGTCAGGTTGTCTGTTGAACCCTGTATAACCTAAAGGCACGCCACCCCACTCATTCACTGTGCCGGGCTTCGTAGGTGCTCGCTAGCAGCACTTGCCCCCCAAACAGTCCGTTAAGACTATACGGGGAACTTTTTTTGTTTGTTTGTGTGTCTATGTTGTCTAGTGCAGCGTTTCATCATAGCAGGTGCAGCCCTATACTGATCAAAGTGCATTGCCATTTGAAAATAAATGTGGAGGGAATGGGAAGCTACTCCTCTTTATGTTAAGTAAAATTGCAAAAAAACCAAAATAGGCATACGTATAATAGGACAGTGCGTGGATCCGTCAGGTCCCATGGTTAATAGCCACACCACCGCCCTGATGCCCTGGTGCTCGCTAACAGCACTTGCTCGAACAGCCTCAGCGTCGGCTAAACAGGGAATGTTTGTCTTTGTCTAACTTAAAGTGATGCCACACTTTCACTTCTCTTTGGTTCTTTCGGTAAAGTCACGTAGGTAGAAATAAAATAAAATAAATCACGACGTTTCGAACGCAACACAAGCGCCCGTCTTCAGGTGAAAATCGCGACAGCTGCGATGTCTGCTGCAAGCAGCACGATGCCAGACAATGCGTGCATTATATCATACTTGTGAAAGATTACGGTTTGCTATATTTGTGCCAGCTATGTGGAAACGAAATGATCATGTTTTAATTTAAGCTCATGGGCCAAATAGAATTCCACAAACAGGACAGACAGACAAATATATAGAAGATGCAAACGAGACAGTAAAAATTGTATTCTTGATTTGACTCTGATTTCTGGTCCGTGAAAAAGTCGACATTGCTCGTGTGTGGAGTGAGGGAGTCAGTGGATAAGTATTTGGCTCGTGGCCAAGCATGGGTTGTTTTTTTGGAGGGTTGTTGGGGGGATAGGAGGTACTTATTTATTTTGCTCTTAGCTGTCATGTTTCCCATGGCAAACTATAAAATGCACTGCGTTAAAAATTCGCCCCAACAAAGATGGCCACTGCATCGCCGCGCTTTCAGATGTGCTTTTGCGGCCGTCTGGAATGGCTCTTCCTTCCGATGTTAGGAAAACACTGGAGCTATGCACTTTTAAATCATCTTGATGGAAAACTCATTTCTTGAGAACTGCTTTTTGTGTTTTAGTTTGTTGTCCTTACCCCGCACCTCCGATTAGCATGGTGGGCTACGCACAGTGCGTAAGTAGTTCAACATACATACATAAAATTGCCAGCATCTTGACAAACCAGTACGCCCAGTCCTTAATTCAAAAGTTTCCTTTTTCATCGGATCATCGAGGTACTTGAAAAATACAATATAGTATTTCATAGAAAGTTCAATCATGTGTTTTGTTCATTAGCATGTGCCAATTGAAGTGGGTGCAATTAAAATATAACCTTAACCCAAGGCGTCCAATGTTCACACACCATGGTCCCTTGAGTCGTTAGAACCCTAATAATCGAACGTGCGTTTTGCATCTGCACAGTATTACATTGTTGAGTTTGTGTAGCTATTGCAATAATACTGTTTGGTTATTTCGGTAAAGTCACATAGGTATAGAATAAAATAAATCACGACGTTTCGATCGCAACACAAGCAGTCGTCCTCAGGACTTTACCGAAATAACCAAAGAGTATGGATTCCTGCAGTCACGAAAGCTTCAAATCAAGATTATTGTAATAATCTCTATCTAGCATGATGTCAATTGAGAAGCATTCCTTTGAGTCAATCCAGGCTACCTCGAAAACATTTTCTCATGTCATGGTGGCCAAAATCTGGCTTAGTGTGGATTGAGGTGTTTCTGTTAAGCTCTTGAAAAGGAACTTCCCAGCGGCACTTAATTTGTAAAATAATTTCGTTTTCACAAACGAAGATCTTATTCCTTGCCATGTTAATTTTATGACGGACACGCGATGCGTGTGTATGTGTGTGCGCACACGTGGGGAGCGGCAGTGTTGAGGTTAGCGTGCTGCGCTGCGAACCCGGGAGCCCGAGTTTGATTCCCACTCGGAGCCACTGCCAGTGACGATTATCTGAACCGATCCTTGGCTTCCCCTCGGATGACTTAGCCTCCAATGAGTACCTGGTGCAATGTGTAAACATGGCTACGAGGGAGACAAAGGCAGCGAGGTGTGGTACTGGCCACCCACCCCACCGGGTACCGTGCTGGCCTTCATATGTGCTGTTCACTAACAGCACTTGCTCCAACAGTGTGTTAAGGTTATGAGGCAGATCTTTGTCTTTTTTTTGTCCAGAAAAGTAAAGGAATTCTGCTTAGTGATGGCATGGCATTCATACCAACGCAGCGTTCACTTCCTCTTCGTGATGAAATGGGATTTGATCGTTATCTGAACGTCATCAACAGGCTGTTGCAATATCGGCATGTACACCTTATCGGCACATTCCAACATGAGCAATGGAATGACTCATGTGTTAGCGTGGTTTTGTGTTACAGGTTTATATTGATCATTGTTGTCAAAGACAACTAGTTGGATGGTGCTCCTGTCCCACCGGTGTTCATGCACACGTCTAACTATATTTTAGCACTAACATCAAATCTAGTTTCCATAGGTGCTCACTGGCACGCTCCAGCTCAGGTACAATAGCGGAGCATATTGGTGACCACCATGTGCTTCTACGGCCGTCTGGAACGCTCTTCCTTCTGATGTTAGGAAGCCACGGGGGCTATGCACTTTAAAATAATCTAGATTGGCAAACTAATTTCTTCAGAACTGCTTTTTGTGTTTAGTTTGTTGTCCTTCCCCCGCATCTCCAATTTGCACTGTTGACTATGTATGGTGCAAAAGAAGTTCAACATTCATACATACATATAAGCAACCCCCCCTCACCACAATCAGCGTGGATTGGTGAAGGCGAGCAGCATAGACGTGGGGGCATAGTACAGTACAACACGGATTTTTTCTCTGCGCTGCCCTCTGCTGACCACCGCGAAGACATTCTGCACGCGTGTACCGCACACAAAACTGGATATTTTATTCCCGCGTGCTTGCCAATGTCCACGATGCCCTTTGCACGACGAGTGTCTGTCGGAATGGGCACGATGTGATAGTCGTTTGCATGACGCCGCCGTGTCTTTGCGCGCAGATGTGGGCGTGCGCCTTGGGCCACGTCGACGCGGCGGTGGTGCTGTACCAATGGAACAGCCGGGCCCTCTCCATCCCGGACTCGCTGGGCCGCCTGCCCCTGAGCGTGGCTCACGCACGCGGACACGTCCGTCTGGCCGCGTGTCTCGACGAGCTGCAGAGGCAGCAGGGGGTGGACGCCAGGTAAGGGCCAAGCACGGGGGGGCTATAGCGTAACACGTGCGCTACAGGAAAAGGCTAAGGGGCAGCCCTGCAAATACTCACTCGCAGCACTGCTGGCGGAAGGGCCTCCACTGGAGGAAAGACCCTTAGTGCCCCTCTGGAGGGGATTTGGCCTACTCCTCCTTGCTAGTCAAGATGCATTGGAAGAGGTTAGACTATCCGCCCCTTTATCCCACCACACGTGATCTGCCGATCGACTGGCTGTGGTGTTACCCGCTTAAACTGCTGGGTGGGCATACGTGGGGGAGGTAATTTATGAGAGTTATAACAACATCTGGATTGCAAGTCCTGTGTGCTAACCATTACACCACAGCAGAAACGCATACACAACAAAAAAACGTGGTAGTCACAGTTTAGATGTGTGTAGAGTACCATAGTGAATCAATTGCTGCTATTTGTAAATATGCACTGCAGCCATATAACTAATTTATTTTAATTTTACCAGGTAAGTCCCCACTGAACTATTTCGCTCTTTTTCCAGAAATGACCTGGCCACAAATGATAGATCAACAAAGTGGCTTATCAAGTGGGAATTTATAGCAGCCAAATACTCTAAACGCGTGTTTCTAAATATGGAGAGAAAAAACCGGTGGACCCGGAGAAAAATCCATGCCACGATGGGGAAAACGAACATGCAAACTCCAAATATACAGGCGAACCCACGACCTCCTGCCACCGTGGCACCCCTGCGAGAGCCAATATTAATGACTATTACCAGTGCTACTGAGGAGACCCTCAAGATTTTATACCAGTGTGAACATTTCAATTGTTTTGAATGATGCCAATGAAGCTTGAATGCAAACTAGCACTGTTCATGTTCCCTAGGAGTCTGCTGGGATTCCAGAAATTATAAAGGACCACCATCTGGCTTGGAGCCCAGTGTGTAAATAATGAGTGGGGAGAACAGGATATACCAGTCATAACTTGACAAACAAATTTTGTTTCGTGGGCTGGGCTCTGGCACATAGGTTGGCACAGTCATCCTGCCCACAAGCCTTGTGGCTTTCATGCTAGCAAATAATAAATGTAATATGGCTTTCCCTGTGGTGTACATTTTTCTCACGCATTTGTCCTTTCCAACCATGAACCACACGCAGCGTTGTTTACCTGCTCTGTTATGTGATGGCAATAGGTTCAGGAGGCCAAATTCCAATGTCGAGGTCTGCTCCGTCCTAACCATAAGGCTTCAGGAAAGAGAGTTTAACTTTTCCCTCGTCCTTTGACGGAGCGTAGACTACAGCAGTTTACTTATATAGTGCGTAGTTTAAGGTCGCACTCATTACACACAAAGTGCTTGCCACGAATCAACCGAAATACCTTGCTGATCTAATCAGGGAACATAAACCATCATCCTTGCAGGAGTGGCTTTTCGCTGGCCATCGAAACACATTCCTGCGGAGGGGTTGGTAGGAACGTTGGTTGCTCGGTCAGTGGCCAGGGTCAACGGCGGCACGTGGTGTATTCCGCAAATATGCCCGACTGTGAGGGCGGGCACAAGCCGGCGTGAGTAGGTTAAACGTTGAGTTTTATAAGGGCACCACGGGGTGACCAGCTCCTCCCCACCCAGCCCCACCCCACCCAGCCCCACCCCTCCCACCCCCCACCCAGCCTCCCCCACCCAGCCCTTCCCCACCCTCCCCTCCCCACCCAGCCCCTCCCCACCCAGCCCCTCCCTACCCTCCCCTCTCCACCCAGCCCCACCCCTCCCATTTTTTATATCCGAATGTCCGGATACACGTGGACAGACATCCACAGAAATACACAATTAATCCCCTGCCTCCTGTGAATTAATCCCGGTTGGGCTTCCAGTCCACTACGTTTCCTACCAGTATAAAGATGGTCACTGCATTGCACGTTTTCAGATGTGCTTCTGCAGCCATCTGGAACGCTCTTTCTTCCGATATAGAAAACCACTGGAGCTATGCACTTTTAGACGTAGATTGAAAACTAATTTCTCTAGAACTGCTTTTTGTGTGTTTCTTTTTCCCCCGCACCTCCGATTAGCATGGTTGGCGACATACGTTGCGAAAGACGTTCAACGTATGTACATACATATGCAGTGAATCACTTCGGAGACACTAGTTAGGAGGCAACGTTTATTCTACACTATATAACACCGTTACACACGGACTACAATATGCCTATCTCTTACACACCATTACACACGGGACTACAATATGCCTATCTCTTACACACCGTTACACACGGGACTACAATATGCCTATCTCTTACACACGGTTACACACGGGACTACAATATGCCTATCTCTTACACACCGTTACACACGGGACTACAATATGCCTATCTCTTGCACACCGTTACACACGGGACTACAATATGCCTATCTCTTACACACCGTTACACACGGGACTACAATATGCCTATCTCTTACACACCGTTACACACGGGACTACAATATGTCTATCTCTTGCACACCGTTACACACGGGACTACAATATGCCTATCTCTTGCACACCGTTACACACGGGACTACAATATGCCTATCTCTTACACACCGTTACACACGGGACTACAATATGCCTATCTCTTACACACCGTTACACACGGGACTACAATATGCCTATCTCTTGCACACCGTTACACACGGGACTACAATATGCCTATCTCTTGCACACCGTTACACACGGGACTACAATATGCCTATCTCTTACACACCGTTACACACGGGACTACAATATGCCTATCTCTTACACACCGTTACACACGGGACTACAATATGCCTATCTCTTACACACCGTTACACACGGGACTACAATATGCCTATCTCTTGCACACCGTTACACACGGGACTACAATATGCCTATCTCTTACACACCGTTACACACGGGACTACAATATGCCTATCTCTTGCACACCGTTACACACGGGACTACAATATGCCTATCTCTTGCACACCGTTACACACGGGACTACAATATGCCTATCTCTTACACACCGTTACACACGGGATAACTATAAACGGCTCAGAGCAGCCAACGTGCTGTCTGACCCACGACGTTGGGAACGGAGACGGGGAGATGAAGTCGTAGCACCTGCAGAGAACCCCGATCTTCGATCTTCGATCAGGGCTTCCGATCGAAGATCGGGGCTTCCTTTTTGTTTCTCTCTCGGCGCGGCCTAGCTCTGCCCTCGGCCGCGCCCCCTTCGGGAACATTCCCGAAAGTTCCAGGCTACCTTGGACGTGCCACCTGCCCGGCTCCGCCCTTAACCACGCCCCCTTCAGGAACTCTCCAGAAGATTCCCGGCTACACTTCCCGTGTCCCCTCGGTCACCTTTGCCCCCAAATTCCTCACCCCGGCCCATCGCGTGCTTCACCCGAGGCCGGGATGACTCGTCCTCATATCCCCCCTTCCGCCAGCAACCTGCACCACGCTCCCCAGTGACCAATTACGTGGCATTCACTCGCTGTGCTGGCGGAGTGGCTGCTATCCCCTACTTTGTCGGTAGGACTCATCAGCATCTCTCTCCTAGCACCCAGTACCACGCACCCTAGCGACCCACTGTGTGGTACTGCATGGTGTGCTAGCCTCTACACCCATATTTCCTCATTCTCCTGTACTTAGAGCTACGTGCTGTAGTGATCCATTCTATATCACTACACATACATAGTTTGAGTTGCATGGCCATAATCACACTGCATTTATTGGCTTGTGTTTAATGTCTACATTGATGGAGGAGATTGAAACCATATGCGGTATTAATCGGGTGTACTCGTTCAGTTATTGTCAGCGGTGCCACAACAAACGCCTAATCACAATTGTTTATCGCTTCTTCTACTATAAAGTTATTCGTTTGCAACACTTTTATTAAGAATTGCATACATTGTCAAAAATATTTCGTAAGTGTTTTGCTGTAGGGTTTCATTTCCTGAGGACAAAAATATCCTTGACAGCCATTGCTGGTTGTAGATAAATCATGTTTATTTTTTTTTTAAATACATCAACAATTGATTTGATCTATACCGGTTTCACCACAGCCCTTTATTCTGGGGTTGTAAATCGCACTGCAAACAACAGTGCTCTTTGATTGGGGAAAACAAATATGTTGCTATTCATTTATGGCTTGCCAAGATCCACATTCTTGTGTTAACATCACCACTGCGGCTTATGAATCTGACTGAAAATCTGCGGTGAATTTTCTCCGACCAACCACAAAAGTATAGCATGTCCCACTATATGCTTTGTAATTGGAGTCAAGGCATAAGAGCGTGAGATCGTAATAATGGTGGCATCGTCTTTCATTATCTGGGGTGGGTGGCGGGGGGGCTATGCACCTGATTTCCTCGTCAGATCTAGGGAAGCTAAGGCGGGTTATTGTTTGGATAGGTGCCGTGCATAATAGGCGTTATAGGCCGCGGCTGTGGGGGCTCAGCGATTGCACGGCAGACAGCAGTGCAGCAAAATCCACCGCTGTATTGTACTTCTGTGGTACCACGTCTATAAACCCTGCCTTCACCAACCTGCACTTACCAACGTGGTGAAGTATGGTCAAGTGACCCCCTGCCGACCAACAGGACTTGGGGATGCCCTCGTCCAGCAGATGATTGACAATAGAGCTACGTGTGTAAATCTCAACTTGAGAACCCATGTCATCTTTCTTGTCGGATTAGAAGCATATAGTTCTAACTATATGCTTCTAATTGAAGCTTGAATAACGACACACACACATATTACTCTTGACCTAAAATGCTTGACGAAACCAACCTAAGGTAGTTATTGATATCGTTCATTATTGGACATGACAATACTTTCAATGGACACATTTAACAACAAAACACTACTTGTAGTTTCGTGTATTGTTTTATTTCACTGATGCTAAAAAAAATGCACCATAGATCTGGTCAATTCTTTTTAAGTAACCTAGAAGACATTGTGCAAAAAAGTCTTATCCGGGTTACCTTTGAGCTCCATAGAGAGAATTCAATGAACATGGAGAAGGATTTTATCACAGAGATGAACACATACCCTAATAATAATAATCGTAATAGGCAAATGGAAACGGGCGTTCCATAGCTCCGATGGGAAATCAGAAAGGATGCATCTAAACAGCAACAGCAGCAGATGGCAATCATTTTTCACATTAAGGTAAGTGTGTGAGCTAAGGCAGTTTAAGTGCCGATGGTTTTTTGCCAACCAAACATACATTTGAGTTTCTCTCAACTCCACGCGATAAAATATTCACTGCCACATAAATGCTTTCTTGATTGTATGCGTAAGTATCATCTCTGCAAACTCAAAAAAGTACCGATTTCCAGAAACCTCATCGGTAGCTTGTATCCCCATGCCCTCGTGACAACAATGCTTTTTGCTGATGATTGCCGTGCGACGTTTCAATCCACTGAGGGAAACTCTGGTTTGGGTTAATACAACAGTAGGCAAGATAAGGGTGGCCAGTCTATCGGCTGGCAAACCTTCACATGACACAGGGTGACCTTGGTCCCCAGAGATGGTGTATCACTCATAGGTGTGTGTGGGGCAGTTTCAGGTGGGGAGCGGTGGCACAGCGGTTAGCGCGCTGCCCTATGTACCCGGGGATCCGAGTTTGATCCCCGCTCACGGCCAACACCAGTGGCAATTATCTGAACCGGCCCTTGGCCTCAAATGAGTACCTGGTGACAATGTCTAAACATCGCCACTGGGGAGACAAAGGCTGCTAAGCGTGGTGCTGGCCACCCACCCTCTCATGTGCCACAGTGTCAGCCTTCATAGGTGCTGCTCGCGAATGGCACTTTTCCCAACAATCTGTTTAAGGCTGCACATGGGGACCTCTTTGTCTTCGCGTGGCGTGTGTTGCCTCTGCAGGCCACCGCACAGGGTGGAGGCCCCTGGGCGTGGGGACAGTGGCTCCACGGTCTGGAGCACGGGCACCAGCACTCAGGACTCCCTTGGGGCGCCGTCTCCCTCTTTCTCTCAGCTGTCGACGAGCCCAGACACGGGTAAGTCTGCTCGCTCGGAGCCCCCTGCCCATTCGCTTCTTTCTGCCCCCGTTTGCTTTTGAGCTGATTCGCGTGATGCCTCAGTGTCACGTTCATCATCGCATGGGTGGCTCAAAAAATGTACGTTGTAAAAATACACGATGTTTTTTTAAACCGTTGATCATTTATATATGAGGGGGTTTTTTTTACCAAAAAAAAGAAAATGCTAGATTATTCCTCATAGCTATGTCACCTTTTGTATTTACTACCTCTTAGTTTATCCATTAAATTCCACTGTTGCGTCAGGCACGTGGGTGTTTGTTTGACAGTATTTTGCCACGCTCTCCCATATTAAATCCTTTCAGTGCTCTCCTCGCTTAAGATGTGGGGCCATCACATTCACAATGTTCAATGACCTGGTTAGAACAGAGTCGAGTGGGAGGGCTATTAGGAATGAGGGAAATTGACTCACCCCCGCGTGTGATGTCACGTCTCACGTGGCTAAGAGCATTACATTGTCGTGTACGAGAAGCTTTGAGTGTTGCCTGGGGGGGCCGTACCTTGTGGCCTTTGTAGTATTTCCTCAATTGTTTTGGACGTGGGCTTCAAGTCCTCTGAGCCACCCCAACCAACCACCTTTGTGTTTAATTGGCTTCACTTGGACGTCCGTTTGCAATAACGATGCCTCACATGTTTTTAGCTTCATAGAATTGATATTGATATTTTCAGTGATGTTTCTTGTTGTGTTACGTTTTTTGTGTGGTGAGTAAAATCATATATATTTGATATATATGAAGGCCATTCTACTAAGCTAGATTAGCTTTTTTTCTTGCGTTTTTTTGCAGTGAAGTAAAAACAGCACATTTTAATAATAGGTTTGCTGAGTTTGAATAATATCTTAATGCCATGGGGGGGAATAATGAAAATGCATGAGGAAATATGCCAGTACTTTGGTAAAGTTGGTCTTGAACATCACATTTAAAGTCCATCAGCCTGTGGGTGCTTCAGACCAAAATTATCCAAGCAGGATTTTATTTCAGCAAAAGAAAACGCTCGATCGGTTTTGACCTTCTCGGTCTCATTAGCAGACTCACGCTTGTTAAAACAACAAATGCTGCTGGGTTACCAAATGATATTGGCAAGAGCACTCCAGAAAAACTCTGGGGCGCAGTTCAGCACAAGTATTGCACTGTGGCGCAAACTCACCGCTGGCCTTTTTCGCTCGTGATTCGCCCTCAGGCCTGAGCGTGCTCAGCAGCTCGGTGTCATCGCCGACAATCTCGGACACGCGGAGCCCACTCTCTACGCACTCGTCCCACGGTTCCCCGGAGCAGGACTCCCCGCTGCCCAGCCCCGACGTGGCCACCTCGCAGGCCTTCGTCTCCCCGATCCCCGCCTTCCCGTCGAGCCGCAGCGACCCCCTGCCCTTCGCCACGGACCGGAGCGGCCCTCCGACCGCGGGCGTCTTCGCGGTGAGCGGCACCCCGCTGCCCGCCAACGGCGCCACTGCCGCCGCCGCCGCCGGCGGCTTCGCGATTCGGCCGTCCGGCGCCCCATCGCAGCGGGACGAAGAGATGGAGGTGTCGTCCGACACGAGCGCCCAGGCGCAGGCGCCCGTCTTCCTGTTCCCCATGGCACCCGCGAGCGCCGCGCGAGAGCTGGAGCGCGGTTCGGCCCAGCGGGAGGCGGCGGAGAGGGAGATGGCAGAGGCCGAGCTGCTGTCCTACAGCGAGAACCTGGAGAATGAGGCATACCTCCCGGCCATGGAGGTGCTCCAGGTATGACACGGCTGCTGCGCGGTTGTGATGAGAGCCCAGTGCCGGCTCGCTTGGACGCGTGATGTTTAAACTCGTTTGTTTAGAGCACGTGTACACCGGCGTTTGATTAGTTTGGTTACTTTTTAGCGATTCCACTGCTTTGTTGCTTTTCCAGTGGTACAAAAAACTAAAATTACCATCCCGCCCCCCCCCCCCGTATAGCCTTAAGGTCAGCACGTCACACGAGGGCATGGGTGGCCGGCACCGCTCCCGGCCGCCTTTATCTCCCAAGTAGTATTATTTTATTGGTCATGAGCGGGAAACAAACTCAGGTTGTCGGGTTTGTGGCGCTTCGCGCTAACCGCTCTACCACCTCCCTCCCTCTCCCCCAAGTGGTACATTACAGTGGCGCACTAATAACAACAACATAGTCGTTATTAACACTGGCATAAATTGGAACCATTACACACGTCGTACGACGTTTTGGACAGCGGTCCTTTTATATCAGAGAGATCATTCATTATTTTCCCAAACATTGACGGTTATTATTGCCTCTCGAGGGCAGTGTCAATTACAAGTGTGTTAAGATTTGTTCTTTCAGCTACGGTTCAAACAGGAGATGCCCGTCATCGGCTGAGTAACAACGCATCCCGCGATGGGATTGCCTTCCAATTGGGACGCTGCTTGGGGTTCGCTCAGTGTCTCATTGATTGATTTAATTATATTCGGAATTTTTCATCAGGCGATTTGGTTTCACTATTAGAGGCACTGATATCGGGTTTAGTTTTGTTATTTTTATATGTATGTAATTATGTTCAGTGGCATGAAAATAGGAACTTTGAAACATATTAGGTCTGTGAATGCTCTTAAACTTAAGAAGTAATGGATACAATTCTGCTACACAACCAGCAACCTATGCAGCCTTCAGAGGAAGAATAGCAGTTACACGTGCACTTCGATATAATTAATGCCGCCCCGTTAAAAATGTACTCTTAAGGCAATTGCACACTGTGCCCTCGCAGGTGGACATGATAACGCTGGCCGAGCAAATAATACAGGCCACTCCGGAGAGGATCAAGCAGGAGAACTTCACACCCATGGACTCCCCCCTCCGAGAAAGGCAGGGAAACCACGCCATCAACCAAACCATGGCCTGGCTCGCTGGCTACCTAGGGGACGTCGACCACCTGCCCAACCTATCCCAGCACAGGTGACAGCTGGCTTTAGTCTGCAGCACAGGCGGAGGCTAGGCTGGATTATGTAGCTTATTGAGCGAATATCTGCCCTCCTGTGGCATTGTTGCTCTTGTAAACTGTGCCTCCTCTTAAGCTTTAGACATTATCAAGGAATGCTTAGAATCCAGGGGCAGATTTAGTTTGTCTCTTGTATGCCTCTGGCATTTCCATTGTACCCTAAGGATTCTCATAGTGTCTTGAGTTGAAAGTCTGAGCCTTGTGTATTAACACTAAATCCTTAGAATCCTCAGGCTGCCTTAGACTGGATTTTGGTGCTTTGGCCATTTCTGATGACCTATTTAAAAAAATGCTAAGAATCTGAGTTTCTGAACATTGGGCATTAACAATAAAGCCATAAAATCATAAAAGTTCATAACTATTGCTCTCTGTGCCTGAGCATTTATTACAATACATGTTTAAAATGCTAAGTCTGCCTGACCCTGGTTCTCTTTGTGTCACAATTTAGGATTAAACGTTATAATTTATATTATTATTTGTGAAGTAATATGGAAAAAAGTCCACTTGCTTCTGCATTTTTCCATATTGCCTTTGATGATCGTGTTGATTAAGGTTGACTGCAACTCACACACTGTGAGTTATATTCTTGGTTCTTTCAGTAAAGTCACGTAGAAGGGAAACAATATTGTTTCATAGTTTTATTATTTTATTGTTTCCCTTCTACGTGACTTTACCGAAAGAACCAAGAATATGAATTCCTGCAGTCACGAAAGCTTTAAATAAAAATGTACACTGTGAGTTGACACTGAACACATTTGGCGCATACACAGCACACAGCCTGTATCGCATGTACTCTTAATTGCTCAGTGATGATCATTCAAACATTCCAATGTATGACTCTTATTTATATGCAAGTTTCCAATATTTGTTCTATTTTGAATTATATTTTAGAGCAACAGCGAACTGGCAGTAACTGCCGAGTGTTGTGCTTTGCTTGGCAGAGAGCCGGCTTTTGGCATAATAGCTCTGTTCCTGTCTTCGCCTAGTAATTTATCTCAATTACCCAAGCATGCCTTTTGGTCATGTGTCATCACTGTGGGAAGTGGATCAACTTGTTCCTGGAAGTCCAAATCCAAAATTTTTATACAAAAAAAATGATTTTCTTAATTTCATTGATGAAGACCGTGTAATACTTCAGAGATTAAATGGAAAAGGAATTGTAGTCCCTCCGACATCATAGTTTTGGTGCCCTAATTTTTCAGTAACTAGCCAGGTGGCTCAGCACCTCGCAATCGGAAAGGTTGCGAGTTCAAATCCGGGTTGGTGCATTGACTCAACCCATCATCCCCCTGGAGTTCATAAAAGCCTTCCCACTTTGCGGTGAAGTCAACAGTGGTTGTCCTCTGGAGATACTTGCACCCCGCTGTGGAATTTAGAATTTCTACTACCCGGTGCATGGGTTGTAAGCGAGAGGTGAGCGCCAGCATAATGCTAATTTATCTTGCCTAAGCAGTGTGCAGTACCAGCCCCAATGTACCCCAATCGACGCCATCTATGATACGCAGCCCATGGTGATCTGCTGCTGTACCAGCAGAGCACAAACCTTGTGCAGCAATACGGTCAGCACAGTTTCACCGGTGTCTCCGGCCCCAAGACCTAGACCCGGTTACCCAGCGGCAGATGTCTGGGATCCATGCTTGAGTTCTGAGCCAGTTTTGCAACAGACTGAAAATGGCGTTATTGCAACGAGCTTTCCTATGCTCTGATCCAGGGGTCACCAAACTTTTTTCACAGTGGGCCAGATAACTGAAAGAATGACGAGCGCGGGCCGCATAATAAATAAATATTTCTGGAGCGTCGGACGTGTGTTGACAGCTGGAAAATCTGGGGGCGGGAGAGATGCGTGTTTGTGTGTGTTGCCATGAAAATCATGGTAACGTCAGAGCGTAGGCGGAGGTACCACGAGCCGAGGAAGTACTTGGGATGACGCGAAATAAGCAAACATTACAATAAACAAGAAAATCTAGATACAATAATTTAAAATAGTAAATTTAAGGAACATAGCAGTCAGGAGGTCTCCGCACGCGTGAAGATCTCTTAGTATTCTAAACATTTAAATTTAAATTGTATCACAACGTCTCGTGTTCCATACGTTTTATCAACCAAATTCAAGTACCGTCGGCGGGCCTGATGGACTGGCGTCGCGGGCCAGATGCGGCCCGCGGGCCGAAGTTTGGTGACCCCTGCTCTGATCAAAAGAGTTTGTGATAACAAATGTTCAGAATCGCTTACTTACAGTTGAGAAATTTAATTTCCGGTTTCATTGTATTTCTCCCCAAATGTAAAACCCGAGCGCAATGTCATTTTTGTGCAGATCCCTGTACAATGAACCGCTGACGCCCGCCTCCAACACCAGCCTGAGCCCCGTGAGCTCCCCACTCAACGAGATCGCCTTCGAGCGCGTGGAGACCCCCACCGCGGCCGACTGGTCGGCCTTCCTCAATGCCTCCACCAATGGCAAGATGGAGAACGAGTTCTCTCAGCTGACGCTCTCTGACCACGAGCAGCGGGAGCTCTACGAGGCGGCCAAGATCATCCAGACGGCCTTCCGCAAGTACAAGGTGTTTGAGCGGATTTTTCCGTTGCCCTCCGTGGACACAGCTGCTGCCGCCCCTGTGCTACCACTGACGCTATTGCCGTTGTTGCCATAGTTAGAGAGCGCAAGAGCCAGATGCGGTTCTGAGCCTGACCGGAGGTCAACCCAGATCATTTATCTCTTGTGCCTCTCTCTCTTTTGTTTACAGCGAAATGTTTACGGACGTGAACATTTTCCACCCGCTAATGAAAAGTGCGTCGTACCGACGCGCGACTGGTATAGCTATCGCAAGGCATTTTGAAAATGTGTTTTGACACTCATAATGGACACAATTGTAATAAGTGTGTATATAACTATATATATAAAAATACTATTTACAACGTTTTATAAATCCACTGCTGGATAGCAGCCTTCCCGCACCATGTCAGTAGTGGGGGGTTGTTATTATTACTATTTACCTCACCGCAGTGCAGGTTATTGAAGGAGGGGAGCATAGACGTGGGAGCATAGAAGTACGGAACAGTAATGGATTTTGCAGCACTGCTCTCTGCTGCGCAAAAAAATATCCCTGCAGTAGTCTATAGCGGTGACTGCCTATCATCTCCAGGTTCAATCCTTCTTAGCTTCTGGTGAATTGGTTATTGGCTTTATCCTTTGGGAGTTGGCAGAGTGCGTATCACATCCTGGTAAGACAACAGTGGTCATTCTATTTTGAGACTGACGCCTAACCATGAAAATGTAGAATTCCCACTGCTACCTTAGGCCTGCTAATGAGGACACTTAAGTTGTATTTTACATCGACTAATAACGTAACGACCTAAATAACCACGATTATATTCACAAATATATAATCATTAATTGTATTGTCTGTTATACCCCGTGTAATTATAACTCCTAATACTTAAACTGATTTTCTGTCCTTAGCTGTTTGGGTGATAATTTGGTGGGGCACCTAAATCACAGTTGGAAGGTTAGCCACAGTGATTGTAAATGTTAGTGGTTGCACTATATTGTACTATACAGCTGCTGTACTATGGGGCCGTCCATAAATGACGTCATGCACCTGGGGGGGGGGGGTCAGACATTTGTGACGATGTGTGACGAGGGGGGGGTGGTTTGAGAAATGTGACGTCACGTCAAAATGCGCAACTTTAAATAAATATAGACAACACGTTCTACTTAATTATACTTTTTTAAAGAAATGTTTTCTTCTACAACATCAGAGTGCAGCGCCACATTAAATATGCACTACAATGACAATAGTTTAAAGCGATTTGAAGCATGTTTTTTTTGGGGGGGGGGCGTGGGCATAGCTTTGTGACGTCATATTTGAGGGGGGGGGGTCTGACTTTTTGTGACGTCGTGTGACGAAGGGGGGGGGGCAAAAATCGTCGTGGTTAACGCACTGCGCTACCAATCCGGCAACACGAGTTCAATTCCCGCTCAAAGGGCAACACGAGTGACGATAATCCGAACCGGTCCTGGACCTCCTCTCGGTCGACTCAGCTTCAATTGAGTACTCAGTACGGTGTGTAAACACTGCCACTGGAGAGGCAAAGGCGTCCGGGACGTGGTGCTGGTCACCCTCTCCCTCGTGTACCGTGGCGACCTTCATAGGTGTTCGCAGTGGCGTCACTAGGGTTGGTTTCACCCAGTGCGGGAACTCATGGTGTCACCCCTCATTGACCTCTCTGTCCATACCAGACCATACAGAATCCTTAGTAATGTGTTTTGTATTGATGTTACTCGTAAATCGTAATTACCGTATATCACTGAATGTAAATGGCAATAGTAGTGACGTGAACAACAAGAAAAATTAAAATTACACCTTTAAATTACAATATTTCCTTTCATTACTACTTCATTCTCCAAAAAAGTTATTGATATAGGTTCACAAATACTTATTACTACAATATTGTAGCTAAAACACCAGAAAATTTGACAAAATCAGCGACTATAAAAACACGAACAGCGACGAACACAACAGCGCGTGCTTGTAGCGCGTGCAGACGAGGCCACGTGACTTTGATGCGTCACTGTAATTGGGCAACAATGACAGCTGTGACTGGAGCGCATTCGAAGGTTCAAAAAGTAAATTACCATCGAGTTTTAGCCTTGAAAGTATATTTATACAGTACGTGTAAGCTGGGCTTACGAAAATTAGTTGTTATGACTAACTACAGGGATATTTTTTTTTATAAAAAATAATACGTTTTTGCTGAAACGTTGCACAAAAATTGTATAGGCAGTCATTTTGGTGTCACCCCTTCTGATAGTGTCACCCAGTGCGGTCCGCACCCGCCTAGGGACCCCACTGGGTGTTCGCGTGAATACCACTTGCCATAACCGTTAGTTCAAGGGTATATGGGTGTCGGGGTATTTTTCTTTATCTAGATGCGTGCGTGTGTGCGTACGTGACAGCATGTGCACATCACGCTAATTTGCTTAAGTATGTCAGTGTGCGCGTGCCCACGTGCGTGCGTGAGAGGAGTCAGTGTGGCATTCTGTAATTTTTGCTGTTTTACGTGACGAACGACCCAATTGAAATGCAACCTTAAGGCATTTCGCTGCCATTGTCTCTCTTATTGTAAAAAAAAAACAAATGCAAAGTCGATGGGCGAGGTAGTGTCGCTTGGTTACGTTATCAATTACGTTCACGTTAAAATAGCCTCTTTCATACTTTTGTGTTTATTACATGAAAGAAACGTAGCAGTACAGCTCACCTAAAAGTATGTTTATTATCTCATTAAAATATAGACCATTTATCTCGTTGGGCTTCCACTAAAACATTCGAACTATCTTAACACATTTACTTGTGAAAACTTTCCATAAAACACCAATTCCAGTTGTTTTTATGTTACCTCCAATTACCTTACAAGCTGCTTTCTAGTTAGAAGCTCTTTTCAACTGTGGTTATAGATAGGGTAATCTTTTTTTTCAATAAGTAGGAATTCATAACAATAAAAAATACATGCCGATGTTATCCATAACCAGAAAAAAAAACTCTTATCGTTGTGTTTGGAGCATACTGTGCTAACAATTGCGGCCTGAATTTTACTCTAAAGACCTCATTGAGACCAGGAGTCGTGTCAAGGGAGACCTTGGCGTTTTACGTTCGTGGAGAAGCACATTTGAACGTGTAAATAAAACAATGCAGGCAACACTATTTGAAAAAAATGTTGCAACACGATTAAGGATGCTTGTTTCACAGTAAAATGTTAAGACAATTAAAACATTACTTAATAAACAACAAACAGTGTTGTGTAACTTAGTTTCAATTCCAGATTTAACGTCATTGTCATTTATTAAAAACAACCGTGAATATGCTCGGTATGTGACCTTGAATCTCCGTGAGACACGGGTTGATTGAGCGCAGATTTCTCTTGTTGCCTTGAGCCATTCTTAATCCGCTGCTTCACAGTGGCTTCTCAATGCTACCCCATTGATGTGTGTGGCTGCAGGTTGATTCATATTGGCAATTTGACACTTGCTACGTGGAAAGTACAACTTAGCTTGAAGTCCAATCTAATGGTTTACCAGTTGTCCACTTAAGCGGTTAATCATTTCACATGCAATTGAGCGGCAAGAGTTTGTATCGAAACTGAACTGAAACATGTTTTATTTTACCAGGTAAGGCCTACTGAGCTCTAATGCTCATTTTCAGAAGCTACCTAGCCACAATTGATAGCTCAACGAAGTGGCTTTTCACGTGGAAATTTATAGCAGCCAAATAATCTAAACGCGTGATGTTGTTTCTAAATGTGGAGGGAAAAACCAGAGGACCCGGAGAAAAATCCACGTGACCACGGGGAGCACATGCGAACTCCAAAAATAAGGGTGTCGGGGTTGGGATCAAACCTCCGGTATACCAGGCGAGGTAGTTAATATATTTCCACTGTGCTGTCCTTCAATCAATGCATCGTATAGCAAAGAGTCACCAAATGTATTTTCTAAAAATAATTCAACATAGGAAGAAGTCACAGAAACTCCACGGACGAAAGTCCCAGGTTCATTACTCCTGGGTTTAGGGGAAGGTAAAAATTGGGGCTTACTGCCCCACCCGAGGTGGGGCCCACGAGCGAGAGCACAGATTATTATTTTTATATGGGGAGGAAAGGATGAGGAGAGAAGAACAAAACTTAAGGGGGTAGAAGGGTAACAAAATTGCAAAGGAAGTTTATCTTAGACACACAAAGTTAACTTATTGCCAGATCAAGTCCCGCAGAGCAGTGATTTACTCCTGTCCATCACCCCAGGGGTGGCCCAATCTCCTGGACATGGATTTTTTTTTTTTACATTAACCAATTCAGTGTCAGATTTCAGGTCTTAGCGCAATCTGTGGGAGTTCTGAGGCCAGGTGTTTTTTTGAGAGACCTCGAGAATAATGAGTTGCACAGCAATGTTGTGTAACAAAACATACATTTAAATCATTGCTTTAGAGACGTAACTTACTTGAAGCCACATCTACATTAAATGTAAGATACCTTTGTAAATACACTGATTATTTTCTTGTTGGAATGCAATGGTCTTCCCTGGTTTTCCAACGCAGCATATTTCAAGTCCTCATTTGTATTTCAAATTACAGATTGGCCTAAGTTAAACGAAAGCACTTTTGCCAGCTGGCTCCTTGTCTGTGTGTTTCCTCTTACATAACCAGTCTGTACATGAAGGCAAAAGATATCAACTTCAAGGAAAATGTAAAGAGCATCTGGCAGTAGTTTTTTTACTTCCCTTTCTCTGTATCTTTGTATGCAAATTCAAGTTTCGCAATGCAACGTTGTGTAAAGATCCTCTCGATGGCTACAGTAAAGGGATTTAATACAACTTCCTTTGACACTTTTCACATCAAAATACCACGTCAATCAGTGAAGGTTGAAGAATGACGTTGGTCCCTTTTGCAGGGACGGCGTCTAAAGGAGCAACAGGACATGGCTGCAGCTGTTATCCAGCGATGCTACAGGAAGTATAAACAGGTAAAACCCATTCCGTTCGGCCACTGTGCGACATTTTTGTGGGTATAATGCGCACCTTCAGAGCTTTGTCTGTTCACTAAAACAGAATTGCAGCTGTCATTCCCATCAGCTGGAACGTGGGAGGTGTAGGTTAAAGTTTAAGTGTAAATATACAAAAAACTTGGGGTTGTTCAGGGGTGCCTGTGGCGCCCCTCACAACCATTTATGGCCTTCGGCCAGGAAAGTCACGAAAAAAATTGCACACGAACGACGCATTCACGCAAGCACCCGATGCTCCGTTTTAAAGTTTTAAAATGAAACATCTTTTAATTGTATTATGTTTTGAATTAGATAATTTTATCTCTTCATTAAAAGCTTATATTATTTTACATCTGGAAGGCTTAATTGAAAACGACATTTTATGTGCATTTTCTTTCGTCGTTAAGTAGATGGCCTTGCTGGGGATTCGGTTCGATCGAGATAAGGCGACATAGAGCTGGCCGTGCGAGAAGACCGCCGTCTGCAGATCGATTCCAACGTAATCGAACGTCTGTCCCTGCGCCTCCGTCGTTCATGCAGGGGGCGTGTAGGTTTGCAGCGCCCCCTGCATGAAAACGACGGAAAGTGCAGCGTTCAGCACAGATAGATAAAGTTGTGCGCTTATATAAGAGTAGTGTTTGGATATTTTTTTAACCTTGTCCAAATGTGCCTTTTCTTTTACCGTAACATTCCATTGTGTGCTTTCACACGCTTTGCAGTCTTTAAAATGTTGATCCGCGTGTGCATGTACATTACATATTGCACCGTTCCTGTCTTTGAGTGAAAATGTCCCTTAAATGGCACTGATTTAAAAATAAAAAGCTAAGAGAATTTCGCACTTAGGTTGTTGGTATGCAATCGGCCAATATATCTTAGAAATACGCACCACTGAATTACATGAGAGAAAATGTTCATTAGCTCGATAACAAAATGCAGGCGCTGTATATAAAATGTATATATGCTTTTAAATATTAGAATTAACAATATTAAATGGCATTGCCTCTCTACATGCGGCTTTCTCAAGATACTTTATACAAAGATATTAGGCATGTACAGCTAGAAATTCAGTTAAAATGTATTTGACACATAATACATGCAGAATTATTCATTGCTATGAAATCTTACTTCACAAAAATGCATCGCCTTCTTGAATACGACTCACAATGTATGCAAATGTCACGGTATGTTAACATCGATTGTATGCATAGGACACTCATACATTTTTGTGGTATTTTCACACGCGACATTTGCATATGCAAAATATGACTGACAAGCATCTGTGTTCAAATGGTTAGTTTCACTGTGACAGAATTACAGCACGGGACACAGAACCTACAAAAAAACTCAACGTTGTAGCATAAGCATCTTCAATAATAGAGATTTTTTTGGTTAGATTGTGTAAATATAAATGTGTCGTTAAACCCGCCACCACCCGACACAACCAACTAGTAAGGTTTGTCACGGCAACAGAACGTGCCAATTCGTTACAAGTACAGCACACCGGTGTGTTGAAAAGCAAATGCACAATATTTACAATCTGAGTACAACGTTTCGCCAATAATTACAACTAGCATCATCAGGCGGATAAGCATCTTCTTGTGTTTTATGGCAAGCAAATTTACTGACACGGCATGTTCATCCGATACGTGACAGAGCCCATTGTATTGCCAGGTCCAACGAGCCTGCACTTGTTCTTGTCATTTTGATCGCATGAAATAACGCGTAAACATTTTTTAAAACATCGAATACTCAATCAGCTCGTACATTTATTGCATTTAAGAGCATAACCGTCGCTAACCCTTCGAACAATCCAAATTTAACGTACGTTTTTGCCCATTAGTGACAGACTGATGATTATTTACTAACCGCAATAATTTATTTGTTGTGACTGTGTACTAATTCTGTGGAATATGCATTTCACGTACACATCAATGCTGACATGACAGCAGACATACGACTCACAATGTACCACATGTAATATTTACATGCATTTGGATTTTGAGTTACATTTAGGGCTGTAACAAGAGGGCCAATCTGTACGACTTAAATGGAACCCCTGCTCATACAAGGGTATTATTTCGCAAAGACAGACATGGTACACGTCACGTATAATAATAACCAGGATCTGGTCGATGTCAGCTCTGCAAAGCTGATTTAATCCAAATATGACATTTAAATGCTTCTTGTGGGAGATTAGAGGTTTGTTTAAGTTGCCTGAGATGATAGCAACATATTTTCACGGTTTGATATCAAGTTTTACCTTGTGAGATAAATTTCCAGAAATAAATATAAAAAACTTTAAAAATACATTTTTTACGAGATAATGTGTGTAGAAAGACCATTCGTTTATCTTGCTAAACTGGTATGCTTCTGCATAGTTTCAGTTGGCTTTATGTACTACGTAGTATCTTTTACTTTTACATTCCGTGTGTATGCGTCTCTTTTTTTTCACCGTAAACGTTAAATACCATCAAGATATATCGTTCTTAAAGCTTTAATTTAACAACACATCATGAAAGGACTGCAGTGGCAGTGTTGAGAAAGTAACACGTTAACAGTAACTGATTACGTTGAGCACTTGTTCTGTGCCCTATAATGGAAATATATGAAATGTTGAAGTTCTCCTACACACTGTTAGATGACAATGCTTTACTTAAATATAATAGACTGCATTGGCATTGTTGTACAATTGCAGAACACTGAAGAATGGCCATTTTCCAATATATTTGCCCACCTTTGTGTTTAAAGGCATTATTAATAATGGTGGTAGTTTATTTATTTAATATTAATTCAAATTGTGATCAACTTCTCAGCGCTGTGTGCCTCGCCAGTCGCCCCCACTGATGTCTTCTTCCCCCCTCCCAAATGTGTGCAGATAGTACTGACTATTGTATGGATGTAGGGTGTGTAGATATATATGTAGATACTACTGACTTGTGTGGAGGCATATATGTAAATACTACTGACTTGCATGGAGGGTGTGGAGGCATGTATGTAGATACTACTGACTCTTGTATGTAGGGTGTGTAGGTATATATGTAGATACTACTGACTATTGTATGTAGGGTGTGTAGGTATATATGTAGATACTACTGACTCTATTGTATGTAGGGTAAGTCTATATGTAGATACTACTGACTTGTATGTAGGGTGTGTAAGTATATATGTAGATAATACTGACTCTATTGTATCTAGGGTTTGTAAGTATATATGCCTGCACAATACATTAATTTTTTGGCGGGGGGGGGTGAATCATTTTTTGGGGAGTCGACAATTTTTTTTTTAACTTTTTGGATAAACTTTTTACCACCGCACCTGGGGGGTGTCCACTTTATATAACTTGTTTTGTATTATTCATGCCTTCTGAAAGTCTTTTTTATAATTAAGTGGACGGACAAATGGGCATATGGAACGCCGGACTTTTCTAATAAATCGTTGCTGCCTCGGCGATCTCGCCACTCAGAATAAACAAAAAGACAAACGCCAACTGAAACATTTATAAATGGTTACTCTCCAAAAGAGGAAAAACAAATCGTGTTTAAAAAACGTGTTTAAACGTTATTGATTGTGTACTTTTTTTAGGTAAAGTTTTGTATGTACACAGACGGCACAATATTTGATAATACTTTACAACACTTTTGTTCATCGACTGCTGAATGAAAGCTTCCTTATGGTGTGTCGGAGGTTGTTCGACCATAATTCACCACTTGGTTCAATAAATGTTTTAAAGTCGGGAGCCTAGGACGAATTTAGACATCACTGACCACCGATGTTTGCCATGGTCAAGATTCATACCCAGGTCACTGGATTTGGAGCGCAGTGCACTAACCACTGCTCTCCACTCTAAGCACATGATAGGTCATAGCATACCCATGTATATTTGACTCACGTAGCATTTGAAACATCTGTTAATAAGAATACCATTTCAGTGCAAATTGTGTTTTCAGTACTTTCCTGGTTTATCCAGTAATTATAACTTGTATGGGTGTATCATCTGCGACTGCTTTAGACACATTTGTTGGCAATTACTTAACATGAAATTAAGTTTTGAAAGCATACTTATCACATCTTAAGTTAATACATGTTTGTGCCTCAACAGCCTGTAAAGGCGAGACATGGGATATTTCTCTTTGTATATAATTGTGGAGTAGTTAGCATGCTGCACTACTAACCGGGCAACCTGAGTTCGAATCCCGCTCATGGGAAACACCGCCGGTGACGATTATCTGAACTGGTCCTGGGCCTCTCCTAGGACGACTCAGCCTCAAATGAGTACCCAGTGTGGAACGTGAACATTACCACCGGGGAGACAGAGGCAGTTGGCTGTGATGATGACCACTGACCCCTTCATGTGCCATGCCGGCCTTCATAGGTGCTCACTAATGGCACATTCCCCAACAGTCTGTTCAACGCTTTATGGGACTATCACTCTATATGCAGCTCTGAGTCTTCTCAGCCACAGCCCTTCTCTATTCTTGCGCAACATGGACCCCTTTAAAGAAACACAGTGAGCTCCTCCGCAGGTATAGTTGCGTTGGCTGGGTCACGTGACCCGCATGCTTAGCCACTGCATGCCAAAGCAGCTTCTGTTTGGCTAGATAGAGGCGGATAAATGGCCACGTCAGCGGTTAGAAAAGTGATGGGCTGATGTGGTACGGGAGGATGTGGAGCTGATTGGACTCGCCGATGACTGGTGCCAGTGGTGTCTTGATCTGCCTCTGTGGAGGAGGTTTTTAAAGGACGCAATTGGGCAGTTTGAGGCAGTCGACCTCCAACAATGTTGCAGAGGTTATTTTTTTTTACAAAAATTAACAGGGCACTGGATAGCTAAAATGCAGCAACCTGGGTTTGTCCCGTGACCTCCTGTCAGCGTCATGGTGACGTCACACTTCAAGTGGCCTCAACATGCATTTAGCCTGGCACAAGCGTCATGGTGACGTCACTGCCACTTTGTGGCGAAAGGGTGCCTGTTGTTTGTATGTGGTCATTATAATACATCACATCCTCTATCTAATAATTACATTTGTTTACATTGAAATTCAGAAATATGTCGGACGTAAAGGTATCTCATTGGAAATCAACTCTCGTACTTTTTTTCTAAACATAATACATGACAAAAATTTGCATGCAACTGACGTCATAAATAAACTTTTCAAACTCAAATAAATGTCCCACCGGTAGCAAATAAATGTCACATTTTGGGACGATGATTTGTGCATTGTGCTCTGCACCTGACAACCTAAGTTCAATTCCATGTCGCAGCTGACATCAGGGGTGAGTTATATCTTCAATGAGACCTGTGTACTCCCTTCACCAACCCACACTGGCCAGTGTGGTGAAATTATATCAAACAATCCCCATGACTGACAGTTTGGGGATGCCTTGTGAATTATTACATAGGTATGCATGTTGAACTTATTTTGCACCGTACGTAGCCAACCATGCTAATCAGAGGTACGGGAAAAGGACAACAAATGAAACACAATAAGCAGTTCTTCAGAGAGTTTTCAATCTAGATTTAAAAGTGCCTTGCGTTCCAGACAGCCGCGCAAGCACATCTGGAAGCACAAAAATCAGTGACCGTTTTTGTTCGATGGCTAGTCAAATGCCGCTGCTAGGATGACCTGAGTTCGTGTGACGGTTTATATACAGTTTTGTCAAATGATGTGTTTCAATAAATCTGTTCATAAACCTTAGTAATAATTTACCGGTGATGCATTGGTATCCGGCCGGTAGAGCGAGCTGCTCGCCATCGGAAGGTTGCAAGTTCAATTCCTGGTTGGGCTTTGACTCAGCCCATTATACCTCTGGGGTCGATAAAATACTTACCACTTTATGGGGACGTGAAAAGTGGATGTCCTATGGGGAATTCACCCCTTCCATAGAAATGTGGAATTTCTACCACTTGGATCAGGGCTGTAAACCAAGAGATGAGCACTGCCTAAATGCTCACTTGAGCAGGACTTTGACTTGAATGTGTGTTGGTAGAATGTGTTATGAGTGTGGAAATGTGAATTAATGTCGACATTTTGTGTTGTAACAAAGCTGACATGGATAGCGCTGAAGGTAACGTGCACGTTTTTGTCATATTGTCAAATGCTGCAATGTTATCTTTATATTATACTACATTCTGGTTTCAGACGGGAGTATCTAGAATGGATTAATAAATGAAAAGTGGTTCTAGTTCCCTAACCCGAATGATGGTGTAAAGATCGAGAATGTATGAAAATCAAGTCAATAATACGTAAAATGTATTTTAACTAAAACGTATAAACATTGTCATATTTAAGGGCAGTTGAACTATATATTTTGAACACACATCAGGCTGTAAACTATAGGGCTTTTTATTTTCAAATTAGCTTTATCCTATAGGAATAGGTTTTACCCTTTGAACTGGCACAAAAACTGACACTTTTATTCAAGGCATCATGTTTGCAATGACCACAACACAAGCAGTCAAAATGCAAACAAAAAAGACAACTCTGATAATAATATGCACTGTCCTTGAATTTGATTGGTCCACACCCGAGACAGCTTTATCCTATTTATGTTCGTAATTAAACGTACCTTTATTTTACACCAACCACTCACAATGGAATGTATTTCCCATCGACATGGCTATTGAACTCTCTTAAAACGTATCGGCTGACAATTGGAACAGCCGTGCGCTTTAGCAAAGTCATGGGAACGTGTTTCAAGGTGGAGGTGCAGTTTGTACTTCGAAAATTCTGTGCGGTAGTGAGTTGACATGAATTTAACCTGCTTTTTACAAATTATTCAACTCAGGAATGCATATCGCTCTGTATGGCAACACCCACCTTAATAGCCAGCATAGAAATGTGTAGACGAATAGTACTATCCTGCCGAATGATGAGTTTCAGATTCTTGGTACATTCCAAAGCTGTTCATGAGATGCTTTTTTGTGAAGGCAACTCCGGAGATAGTGTTCAACATGGATTCATTTTATTGGTCAGCATACAATATATTGAGCACAAATAATACACTTTAAATATACTTTATACGTTCATTTGCACGTTTATCATAATTGGTATTTTTTGCTGACATTTTTCACTGTCTTGGAGGTAGCACTTAGCTCATGGAAACAAAATACATATGGTTCTAATTTATCAAAGAACAGCAAAGGTTATCATTAGCATCATCATCAGCACTGATGTATCCACTGCTGGATGAAGGCCTCCACAAGCCGTCACCATCGACAGTGAACTCGCGAAGCAACATTCCATCTAGCTTTCCACACACGAGCTGATCCAATAACTACATCTGGATATTTTCTCAGGCACGTTCCATCTCCTTGGCTGCCACGCCATAATTTGTCCTGACCATTAGCGATTGTTTGTCTTGTCCAAACCAACTTACTTTTCTTAACGGTTAATAAATATGGTGTCTCTAACTTAAGTTTGTTCCCTAAACTAAACAATTGTAGAAAACTAAACTTTTTATATTACCAAGTAAGGCCTACCGAGCTATATAGCTCTTTATCAGAAGTAACCTGGCCACAAATGATAGCTCAACCAAGTGGCTTATCATATAGACGTTTATAGTTCCCTGTTCAATGTGTCATTGTGGAATTTCAAGCATAAACTTCACCATTCTTCTGTATGCACTTTTCAGATATTTTGTTGTAAATTTCCATGTTTCCTATCCATATGTTATGGCAGGTAGTGTCCGCTAAATACACACGTTCTTCTTTAGGCACATTGATGTAATGTTTTTCATTTTTAAGTTTAGTTTTCCAAAAGCACTCCATCCTTCTATCTCATCCTTTGGTAATTTTCTGCCTTCAATAATTCCCTAGGTATACTCATCCTGGTGTGCTTACGATGCATACCCTAACCAACTGATATATTTATGTTTTGTGACTCCTACCCCATGTTGTGTCCATCACCCTGCAGTCATATTTTATTCACCAAATATGCAACAATAATCTTCACGTCATAAAGCACCTATATAAAAAAATATTTCAAAGCACTGTGACTTAAACAAGAAAATCAATAGAAAATCTACACAATCTTCTACTAACACCTTTGAGTAAACCTATGAATACATATATTTTCCTAATGGGGCATTCATTTTGTCTGCAATCCAGTTAACACATTTGCCAATAGGGATTCACTCATCTGGTCTGCATCAAGTACCACCATAAAACGCAACAATACAGTTCAATAATTCACTTAAATCAGAGTATTGGCTGCATGTGGTGTGTCTCATTGACTCTGGGCTTGCGCAATTATGAATCTCATGCAGGAATAATATAAAAACCCTCATTTAGGATTTGTTTCTGTCAGCCCCTAATTTTGCACTGTCAGTCAAAGGCCTCCCACATTGTCTTTCAGTCCTTCCTTTCCTCCATTAATTTAGCATTTGGCACCCTGAACATTTTCAATCGTGCCACCGATTGCCAGAGCGAGTCCCGTCTAACATAACGCCATTCCCGCGTGTGTCCTCCCCCGCAGTACGCACTTTACAAGAAGATGACACAGGCGGCCATCCTCATCCAGAGCAAGTTCCGCTCCTACTACGAGCAGAAGCGCTTCCAGCAGAGCCGCCGGGCGGCCGTGCTCATACAACAGTACTACCGCAGCTACAAGGAGTACGAGAAACTCAAGCAGACCCGCCGGGGCACCATCAACCTCCAGCAGAAGATGAGGTGAGAAATCACGATGCGAAAACATCATCAACATCATCAATCAGAAGCAGCAGCATACATTTTCTGTCCATTGGTGGATGGAGGCCTTCTCCAAGCTGATGGTGTTGCGATCATCCCTGCGATGCCGCAATCTGTCTCCTGCAAATGTCATCCATTGCATGGGGGAAACGAGGCAGCACGAAATAGCATTTGGCAGAGCCGATGCTTCCTCAGCAATGCAGGCAGCCACGTCCGTGATGGACTGGACTCATAAGGGTCCGCGATAACAAATGACTTACTCGATGGCTCAGAGATTTGCGAGTGTTTTGTCTTCTCTTAGCTTGAAGGCTTGTAGATTTTGAGTCTTACTGACAGCTGTAGTGCTGCTGACTTGTGAACTATACATCATTTAGAGGGTTTGTTCATTCTGTGCCAAGACTACGGAAGACTATATAAAGTATATGCAATTATTTAATAATGTACATAAGGCGGGCATGAAAGGACTTTTGGATTTAGTGGCAGTGGAGATTAGGATTACAAATGTAAGACGTCTGGCCAGTAGATTAAAGTATTAAATGCAGTTTTACGGATTGTGTATGGTGGCCTGTGATGAGCTCATAGTATATTATCTTTTGGGCAAGTGGACATTACTATATAAACATCCTTGAGTCTTGTTCTACAATATGCAGCTGCGCGTCGTGTTTGCCATGGACATCAACAAGGCACGACTGACTGCAACGAACATGGCACACGTGCGGCAGTGCCGATTCCTCTGCATGCATGATTGAGCAGGACCAATTTACATTACAGTGGAGCCAGGGCCCTGGGGTCTTCCTGTAGAGTTCAGTGGGTGGTGGGGCCCATTACGTCTGAGCGGGGGTGGGGTGGGGGGGGTTGCGCTCTGGCCTAATGGTCAGAGGACCCTTAGGCATTGTTCCTGATGGTCCCAATGCTCAGCAGTTGGAGCGGGAGGACAAACAAACATTAAGGGGTCTTTGGGGCAAAAAATTGATGTGCAAAGTAAATCAGATGGCCAGAGCCTATGGACAAGACATAAACACGGCTTCACGGAGCAGCCTCCCTCCTTTCAGTTAGTGCTCATGTTGACTCCTGGACATCTGTGAAAAACAGCTTGATAGCTCATCAGATTGCTCGAAGTATAAATACATATTCTGATTTTGAAATATTCTGAAAGCGAAATTAATGGGAAAAAGCTTTGGATTTGGTCCCATTGCCGAATTTTTACGAATTAAAACAGTGGCTTTTAAAACTTGAGTAGGTGGGATGGCGTTCTACGTGGGAATTGTATTGTAGCAAATGGAAACGTAAGCGACATCCTTCAACATCTTTAAACTCGCATAAATGTAATCAAGCGTTGAGAATATTGCTCACGAACAGAACATTGCTTTAGGAAGTTTTATTCACAAAGCTCAGATGCCCACAAGTCAATGCAGTTTGGTATTCAAATGCAAAGACAAACTGTCCGTGGGCGTCAAAAGGAACTGTGGGATTGGACTGAATGATGAAGCTCTAAGAAATGAAGGAGTCCCATGTTACCACGTTCTATCGCTGACCTAGAGCTTTGTGTGGAAAAGGAAGGGTTCTTTTTTACTTGCACAGTAAATCAAAATTTGTTAAACCAGGTCACTCGATGTAAGAGGGCCAGCTTCTGCACGAATAGCCTGGGACATGGATGCCCCTATTGGAGAAGACATTTCATAGTCTAAGGCTAAGAAAACAATTGTACCAATCTTAGACTTCATGTTGCTGCTTGTAAAACATGTAATAATGGCGATTATGTTGGTCTACAAGCGTTTTATATTTTTACATACAGTACAACCCTACAGGTAAACATTTTTGACTGATAGAATGCATCCCTATAATAGGTACATAACAGTGTAATTTCATCACAAATTTGGCTGTCGCCTGATGATGCTGGTTGTAATTACTGGCCAAATATCGTACTCGAATTGTAAATGTTGTGGGTTTACTCTCCAACACACCGGTGTGCTGTACTAGTGTAAGGACAGTACGGCTCCCTGTGGCCGTGGTTACTAATTGATGCGATGGGAACAGACAGGGTCATGTAAGGGTAATATGGGACCTAAGTGGTCGTTAATAATAATTGAGACAGACAGACAGGGCCAGATGCGGTGAGAGTTTTTGGGAAAAGGAGTGTGGCTAGGTCGTGAGGTGGATAAAAGCCGGTGTGGAACAGGGCTCTGGGCTGCTGTTGTGGGGGAACCAAGGGACTGTCGTCGCCGTCGTCATCTTGGAGCGGGTCGTCTTCATCATCCTGGATTGGGCACCTTGTAGTCTTGGAAGGCTATAGCTATATTGTCTCCGTGACTACTACGCGTCCGCTCCTGTGTAGCCAGCCAACTACACAGGGAGCGTCGTGTAGTCACAGAAGTTACCCAGGTGTACATAGTCACTCGCGGTTACTCGTTAAGTTATTAGTGAGTCGGTGGACTTTATTCACAATAAATATACATATAACTGAACAAGACGGTGTCTCTGAGAGCAACATTACACCAGTAACGAATTGGCACGTTTTGTTTACGTGACAAACCTTACTAATTTGCTGTGTCGGGTGGCGGTGGGTTTAACAACACATTTATATTTACGATCTGAACCAAAAACCTCTTATTGATACTGTTAAACCTCTTAACATTTTTGTACAGGTGACATTTGGGGCAAAACTTCTCCACTCAAGTACACACATGCATATACAGAGACACCATCCTATTTCCTCATAACAAACAAAAACTGTCATGCATAGTGTCATCGAAAGACTATTTGCAATTTTTATACTATTAGTATAAACATCCGGTACGCAGGAGGCTGTGGGTTTGATCCCGGACCCTGGAAATGCCTGTTGCATATTTGGAGTTTGCGTGTTCTCTCTCTCTCCCTGTGGTCGCGTGGGATTTTCTCCAGTTCCTCTGGTTTTGCCCTCCGTATGTAGAAAACGCATTTAGATTATTTGGCTGCTTAACTATAAATTCCCACAGGTGATTATATAAGCCACTTCGATGAGCTGTTGTGTGTGGTCATGTCGCCTCTGAAAAAGAGCTCATTGCTCAGTGAGCTTTACCTGGCAAAAAAACATATATATAAAATCTTGACTTAAAGCTTTCGTGACTGCAAGAATACATATTCTTTGGGTCTTTCGGTAAAGCCACATAGATATAAAAATATATATTTTTAAATATCATGACGTTTTGATCACAACATAAGCAATCGTCATCAGGTGAAAAAATATAGCGGCAGAGCTGCTGAGGCAGGAAAAAATATAGCGGGAGAGCTGCTGAGGCAGGATGTTATATAGGTTTGAGATGGGTGTAGCCCAAGGGTAAGTGGGCGGGGCTTGAGATGGGTGTAGCCCAAGGGTAATTGGGCGGGGCTAGATATAGAATTTGCGTGTAAATGTAAGATCGGAGAGCTGATATACCTCCATGACTTCGAAGCTGTGGAGGTGGCCATTGTATTGTGAGAGATTAGCATGTCAATCTATTAATGTAAGATAAGCATGTCAATGTAATAAAACCGGGTGCCACCGCCATATCAAGAAAAACAAAGCTGTGGAGGTGGCCATTTTATTGTAAGAGATTAGCATGTCAATACCGAAAGACCCAAAGAATATATATATAAAAGTTCATGTGTCACGGCCAAATCTTTGCTGAAGAAGTAAACTCATTAAGTGTTGTTTTAGATGCAGTGCATTGTCCCGACATTATCTCTAAAGTATTGAAATGTGATAAATGTTGAATTAGTTATTTACCAATTACTATGCAGTACTTATAAGATTCATATGGATTGGATAGTGTCCTTGCAGCAACAAAAAAAACTGGCATTGGGCCGTATTCATTTATAAGGCAATTAGGCAATTACCCGTAGATCTGCACATGATTTGTCTATGTGAATACCATTCGAAAATCCCCACAAAACCACTCACACGCATCAGATTGTCTATTGACAATTCCTAGATTGCATTCATAATTTTATGCAAAAGCACGTAACTTAGCTGCTCCAAAGATTCGAAACCACCTGTTATCTTATTCTCTTGGGATCTCCCACACTGACATCTCTGTGCTTAAACAGACCCTGTCGAGATCATAAACATTCAAGTGTGGATGTTGTACATAATGGTGTTTAAGATAATATTGTAGTTCCATTTATTTAAGCATGTGTATTTGGAAATTTGTCATGCTTTGCTGCCGATCGTGTCTTGACGGTGGGAGTAGCCCTTTACTTGGGAAATTTACTTTTGGCCTTACAGACGAGCCAGTTTGTCAAAAGTTCCACTCATCGCGGCCCACGTGTTATATGAATACATTGCACTGTCCTTGTACTGTTTGCTTTTGCCATTATTTGGTCAAGCACCTTTGAGACAAAGCCATAACAGAGGTTGTCTCTCGTGTAGGCCAATCAGTTACAATAACAGTTGCATACATTATGAAGCATATTTGAAAGTGTATTTGTTTGAAAATGAAATGTATACCACAAGTATGGGTGGTTAATGCAGACTTGATGCCTTTATAATATAGGTGTTTATTTGATGTTTAAAGATCTTAACAGCTCTACTTATGCCAGAAAGGCCTTATCATTCAACATCTTGAATCTGGCAAAAAGGGTAGGGTGCCACAGCGAGTATTCCCCCTCCGCTGATTGGCAAAGCAGAGCTTGGGCAATTGTTGGTGCCAGTGTCTGGCTGCCTTGCAGTTCTGTCCTGCTCCAATGAGCTAGATGCACCCAATGGCCCCTTCCCCTTGGTAGTAACCTTTCTGATGATGTGCTGATCTGATGTTAAGGCGCTTGGAGATGCTGAGGCATTCAGCGTCACATTAGTGCAAATATATTATGTTGGACATTGTGTGCTAATTGGTGTAAAATATGATTGAACGTCTTTACTTAATCATGGTTACATTGATATTTCGAGAGGTAATGAATCTCAGCATGACATGTCACATTACACATCTGTACTGAGTCCAACTGAGTAGCAGCGTTGTCTTTGGAGC